AACACACACCTGAAGCACAGAAACACACATACCTGCAGCTCAAAAACGCACACACCTGCAGCACAGAAAAACACACACCTGAAGCACAAAAACACACACCTGCAGCACAGAAACACACACACCTGCAGGACACACTCACAGAAACTAAAATGATCACAACTTTCTGATTATATCGAGATAAAATTGGAAAAAAAAATTTAAACGTCAAAATTCCAGCGACCAGCGAGTGAGTCTCTTCGACTCAGACGAGGACACACACCCCTCGGAGACATTTTGGAGACAAACGTCCACAATTTGTCCTCATCGGTGGCGGTCCAGTGGGACGTGTTTAGTACTGAGAAGTGAAACTCAGAGTTGAAAAGATTCGAAAGAAACAACTTAAAGTTTAAATGTTTATTAGACTGATGGAAAAATTCCTCTTTGTTTGTGATTATTGAAACTAAATGTCACATGTGAGGATATAAAACTCATATTATTTATTCTAAATATTAAAGTGTTAATTTTTCTGCTGCAGCGCCCCCTGCTGTGTGGATGACTGTCTAAGGTTTGTTTTTATTCTGATCTCTGATCTGATCTGAATGATTTAATTTTTAGAGGAAAACAAAATAATCTTCTTTACAGCTTCTACTTTTAATTTGAGATAAACTCAATAAGTTTTTAAAAAGTATATATACGTGTTTTTAAATAAACCAGTGAATATTTTGTCGACTGGCCTCAGATCAGTTTTGTGTTCTTGCACAGCTTTGTGTGAGAACATCTGTGTTTGTATTGCAGGAACGAGATCTGCTCTTTGAAGATGTTTTCTTGCTTCAGCCTCGTGTCCGAGACAAAAAGACAAAGGCAGCTCATTTGAATAAAGTCCTGCTTTGAAGTGAATTCACGGTTAAATCAGCTGAAACGTTTGGCTGAGCTTCAGGCTGACACAAACGACTCGGCAGTGATGTGAGCTTTAATTCAGCCCGATGGCATTTTGGACGGTTGTCACTGTGTGGATGGAAAACAGTGTCTGTTGATGTTTCCTGATCAGTCTGTGTGACTTCAACCAGCTACAAACGCTCGACCCTGTCGTCGTTTCGACACTTCGTGTCACGTGTTCAGGAGAATTTAGTCTAGTTATTTTCCTGGATTCACTCCGATCAGAAGAACTGAACTGTTTGTTTCAGTTATTAAAGATGCAAAAGATCTTATTTCAAATATTGAGTTCATTCATCCATCATCTTTACCCGCTTCTTCCTTTTCGGGTCATGGGGGTCACTGGTGCCCATATCCAGCCATCACTGGGCAAGAGGTGGGGGACACCTGGACAGGCATCCATTCCATCATAGGGACACATAGAGACAAACAACCATTCCCTCTCTCACCTAGGGACAATTTAGAGTTACCAATCAGTCTAATGGTCTGTGGGAGGAAACCGGAGTACCCGGAGAAAACCCACGCACGGAGAGAACATGCAAACTCCACCCAGAAAGATCCCCAGCCGAGTCTTGAACAGGGGCAACTTGCTTGCGTTGAGGCGGCAGCTCTACTAACTGCGCCACCGTGCCGCCCATATTGAGTTTATATTTGAGAAAAAAGTATTTTAATGTCAAGAAAATTCAGGAAGGATTTGCATGTTTGGTTTAAAAACATCCTAAGAAACTTATTTCTGGAGAGAAACAAGAAAATGAAAATAATTTATTGTCTCTATTGCTCTCACACACGCACGCGCACACACACACACACACACACACACACACACAGAGCTAGAGTGAGAGAATTTGTACTTACAAACTGAACAAGTCCAAAGAGTCAAAGAAAACAGAAGAAAACAAGATTAGATTCAACCGTTGAGTTAATTTAACAACATAACAGATGATTTTTAAAAGAAAATGTTTGGGAAGCTGAAGGTGAAACAGCTTTAGGACAAAAAAAGGTTAATTGTAAAAAGATTCTTTGATTATGTTGCGTTACATGTCAGATTACATTTTCACTGTTACATTTCTGTATTTTATCTTTTCTTCTTGTCTGTGCTCAATGTGAGCATGACAACTTGAAAAATAATTGAGGTACCGACTTCTGATTTGGTGTGTGGCAGCATCTACATTTAAGAAAGGTCATTGTCGAAAATCAGGTTGATTCATCAAAATCCAAGATGGCCACCACCATCTACGTAAACCAACCACCACTATTGTTTTAGATTAGGCCTTCTAGTTTTATATTGATTAAAAGTATAGATTCCTCAAATGATTGGGGTGGCCAAAGATTAATCTATGAGGGTCAAGGTCACGCTTGGCCACCCTCTGGCTCCGCCTCTGCACCTGGTGGTGGATAAAATGTCTCCCTCCACTCACCAGGATCCATCACTCTGCAACAAACAACCTCCGTCTGTTCTTCTCCACAGAGTAACTCCTCCACTTGAACATCTTGCATCAAAAACATTTAGGTTTGCTTCGTTCTGTTTAAGTCCAGTCCAGAAAAACATTCATCTCTAACCTGCAAACATTCACTTCTGGAACCCCTCGGAGAGGGGGGACAGTCAGTCGCAGTGTTGTTGTTTTGCAGACGTTGTCTTTTTATCTGTTCCACACTTTTAGTCGTCCTACGTTTTTTTTAATGTGTTTTATAAATAAAGTTTGAGTTGAATCATGAATAAGAAACTATCCATCAGTTGCCTGATGTGAAATGAAGCCTGTTTGAAAGAAATGATTCATTCATGACTTTGGATTCATTTAGTTCCTCCTCTGCTGTCTGGGTGGCGGGGGTCATTAGAGGGTGCTAACTGAAGCCGGCACCACCTGCCGAGCTCCTCCAACGGCCCCGAGATGAGCCTCGACCCGACAACACTCAGATTACTGTTCCAATTTTATTTCAGTAAACTTTAATTATTTCATTCCAGCAGATTTATTAATCGGCAGAAATACTGATTCACCACATTTTCCTCCATGAGCCAGAAAGTTTTCAAATTTGAGCCAAAAAATCTTCCACCTGTCAGAAGTAAGAGAGAAATGAAGCGCAGGCGTTTGCTCTTGACCTCAGATCTGATTTAGGCTGTTAAGTGTTTTGACTGTGTGTTCGTGTGTGAAGGTTCAGAGTCTCCTGGCTCTCAGAGAAAAAGCACAGCAGAAGCTGCAAGAATCTGTGAAGGTCTTCAGAAGTCACTAAAGTCCCACATTCACCCGTTTCCAAACACGACGGAGGCAGTAGGCCTCAGCAGGACCTTGGACCACCATCAGACACTCTGAGGGGTCGAGAGCGGGCCTGAACGGGACCCGCTGCCCGTGGACAGCTGGACTCGGGGCGCCGGACATCTGTTGGCCCGGAGGTGGCGCCTCAGTGAGTGACGGTGAAGATGAGACGCAGCAGGAGATAGAAAAAACATCAAACAGGCGTGGATGCAGCCAGGCATTAAAAGAGTTTCAAACTGTCAAGTGGTGCAAGGATTACACCACTGGTGCCGTTATTTCTGCTCGGGGAGGAGCGGGGGTGGGGGCTGGGGTGCACACAGCGTTTTTATTCTTCATCTCAAACTGAAGCTGAGTCTCACTGGGCTGTGGCTGCTCTCCTGAAGAGACTCGTTAAGAAAATAAATGAACATTCACTCAGAATCACTGAACGCCTCGTCTGGGCAAACTCCTGAAGAAACCCGGGCCAAGACTTACAGGAAGTTTGAAAATATGTCGGTAAAAAAGACACCTGTAGCTCTGCAGGAGTACCTGAACTACACCGAGACAAGACTGAGACCCCCTGCAGCGACTCGGGGACTCATCTGAGAAAAAGAAATAAACTGTAGTGTAAGTTCATGAAACATTCACGAGGATGAGGCTCTGAGACTCGCAGGAGGACACTGACTGACTTACTGCTGGCATGAAGGTCTTCTTCTCCTGCCTGGTCTGGGCCAACATCTGGATGTACTCCAGGTGTGGTCTAGGGTCTTCATCTCTACCTGTCCTGCTTGACGCCAGGTGTTTGTCTCTCTTGCCTTGCCTCCTGGTGTCCACTGTAAAGCTGCGTGGGTAACGATCCCAGGTCCTTTCGTAAACTCGTGTCCAATCCACCTCCACCTTCTCCTCCCGGTGTCTCCATGGCGCCTGGACAAAACGAGCGGCGCCCATTTCAGAAGGTCTTGGGTCAGAAAACTCAAGATTCTTCTCGGGCTCTTTTGATGAAAACGGAGAGCTTGTTAAGACCACTGGGGAAATCCCGCAAATGTTTTGAGACATTTTGGAGACTCCTTCACAGATGTAACATGACCTCTGACCCCAACACCGGTCTCTGACCTGCGGGGACAGCCCTCTGGTCTTTTGTCATCGCTGTTTTTTTTAATCAATTTACAGTTGACACCTGATGATTGTGTTCTAACAACATGAAAAAAGTTGGTGTAGACTGCTCCTAATTATGATTCTGGTTATTAAAAATAATTTAAATTGAAGTTTTAAAGCAGCCTAACAAAGAGAACAACACAGGTGGGTAAGCCCACTGCGATCCAGGCAGGAGTGTGTAGTTGCTGGCCTGTGTGTAGCTGGAACCACTCACCCCCTGTGTGTCGAAGCAGGGTTCCGTTTGATGATGTCATCAGAGCGCGCCGGAAACAGAAAGACAGAAAGATCTCACATTTCTTTTGACGATGAATATGCAGGTTATAAACAACACGTTGTCGCTGCTGCTTGAGCTGCTGAACGTTTAAGAAACGAGGCGCGGAGCAAAGCTGATAAATGTCGACACGTGGCTGAACTCTTCAAGTTTCGGCTGTTTTCTGTTTGTTGTTGAGCAGCAGAACAAAAAACTCTACAAAAGCACATTAAAAAAACAATCTGAGGGCTGGAGGACATCTGTCTCTCCTACTTTTTATCTCATCATCTTCCTCATCCTTAGCAGCTTTTTATCCAAACGTACAGGATCATTACAGGAACCCCCCACCCACCCTCATACCAGTGAGCAGATTAAACATGTTAAATATGAACAGAGGGATGAGAAGGGAGCATGTTTCCAGAGAAAAGTGTGATTTAGAGCTTTATGACTGAAACAGAATTTATGTTTTACTCACAGTGATGAAGTCCTGAGGAGAGCAGGGAGGAAACAGACAAAATAAAACTGTAAATTTCATTCAGTCATTCAGACCTGCCCTCATCTTTTACATTTTCCTTCCCATGTGTCAGAATCATCATAGTCTGTTACAGTGATCTGGATCAACAGTTCTCTGTTGGTTCTCCACCTGTCCAGGTCTGTTAGGACTTGTGAAAACACAGCCAAAGCTTTCTGAGGACTTCCTGTTCCTGTCCGAGGGTTCGGTGGATCTGCTGAGGACCAGGTTGTGATCAAACCTGCATTTTGCTGCAGATCAGATGCTTCGTGTGTGAGTTGTAAGATTTATTTCTGTTTCTTGGTGAGAAGTCAGCGGTTAAGGTTTAGCCACGTGCACGTCATGTGAAAAATCTCAAGCCTTTAATTACATTAATCTTCCAAACATTCAGTGGTTATAGAATCATTCAGAAGCTGAAGTTTCAAAGGAGTTGACTTCCTGTTTGGTTTAAGCAAAAGAGAGTTTTAGAAAAAAAATAAAGGATCTGTTTAGGAAGGTTATTTGTATGTTCTGGTTTTGATTTCATAAATCTAGAATATTCCAGTTTAGTGGGACTGTTGAGACGTGTTGCCTTTCCCAGTTTTGATTCACTTGAAAGGCAAAAATTCAAGAATTTTTTGAATCTGTGTGCAAAATTGTATGCATTTCAGAACACCAAAAAAAAAGAAGCTAATATAAACATGGCAGAAGAAATAAATTTAAAATGCTAAGATGCTAATGCTAAGTCCCAGGTGGAGCAGTGGGCAGCTATGTAAGCGCTCCTGGGCACTTGAATAGCTGCCCACTGCTCCACCTGGGTGTATCACGTGTGATGGGTTAAATGCAGACAACTAATTTTGCCATCGTATGAGAACTTCCCTTTATAGGTACGTCACATGGCCTGCAACCAAAAGTCCAAAAACTCCTGAAAGGCCTTCAGAAAGTCTGAAAAACCAAAGAACCAAAGCAGACCTTCTTGAGGACGAGGCCTGGCTCCTGAGCGAGAAGCAGACGCTGGGCGGCCGTGTTCCCCAGGGCTGAACTCCTGAGCCAGTCCTTCTCCATAGGATCCAGCTGGACCCTGTGGAACAGAGACTGGGTGGGGGTGGGGGGGACTTCATGTCATTTCAGCAAACTGAAAAGGTGTGTCGTCATGCAGACCGCAGAGATTGAAACAAACACAGAACGTTCTGAGGACTTCCCGTTTCCTGACAACAGCTGAAACCAAATTAAAGTCTAACCTCAGATATCTGAAACGATAAAACTTTGTCTTGTTGGGTGAACTTCAAGAAGTTTGTGACATCATCACCAGAGCTCATAAGATTACACGTTTGTGAGGCTAAAAAGCATCACTTTCGTTTTCCCTCCTAGAAGCAGAAACTTTTGGTGAGTCTGATGCAGAAGCTCATGTTGTTTTTCATCCAGTCACGGACCGGCGTCCTCGTTGTCCTTCAGCCTGCAGGACGAGCAGGGGTCAAAACACATTAGTGGTGTTTACAGGCCAGCAGGACTCGGATCTTCAATCAGAGTCCTGCCGTGGCGTCGGAGCCTCCGTGTTAATTACAGCAGCTGCGCAGCTCGAAGGGAGGCCGTCCTTCAACCGGCCGCCATGACACGCCGAGGCTCCAGCCACAAGTTCGCCATCACACATTCACACATCATGAAGAAAACACGAGAAAAACACTCAGACACGGTGAATGTTTCCTTTTATAAACAGGAAGAAGTGAAAAGCAGACACCAACTGGAGGAAGAAATCCACCGAAGGGTCTAAAATCTGATTTTTCTAATTTGTCACTTTTTAATCACAAGAACCAATCGGAGGTTTCCTCACAGTCCTGAAGAGGCAGGAGTCCTAAACATGTTTAACGTCCCTGACATTAAGCGTAATAAACGGAGCAGTCAGATCTCTGACTGAACGCCAAGAAAAACAGAAGGTTTGTTTCTTCTGCCTCCATCAAATGCTTCACTGACGACCTCGGCTCAGAGCTTCCTGCTGCTTCCAGTCAGACGGTGGCGGGAGGCCGTCACAGCCAATGAGCAGCAGGCGCTGCGGCCCAGACCGAGGGCGTGATGGGAGATCGCCATGGGAACGGCAGCGAGGGGGTGCTGTCTGTTTGTGGCCCGTTTGTTTGGAGACTGGCGGCTCTCTGCTGTTCAACACACACACACTCACCATGACGGATGAAGCTGTGACGCTCCTCGTGTCGTCCTCCTCGCTCTGAAAAACAAAAAATATATTTTTTTATGCTTTTTTTTTTTTCAAAAACAACTGAAATTATATTTTTTTAATTGCAAATTGTTTGTGAGAAATATTTTAAATATAACATTTTATTATCAAAATAAAACAATATTTAGATTTGGTTTTAGTTCTAGTTTTAAACCGGTCAAAGGTTTATTTTGAGATGGTTGTGGACTCTCAAACCCACCACCAAAGGGAGTGGTGGCGCAGAGGTTAGAGAAGGTGGGCCTGTGATCGGAAGATCACCGGTTCAACTCCCAGTACTGACAACGTCAAAATATGGGTGGGATAGGTGAAACATCCACACCTGCTTCCACCCTCATTTGCCCCACTCTGGGCCCTTGAGCAAGGCCCTTAACCCCCACCATCTGCTCCTCCGGGTGCCCTAGATAGCAGCTCTCTGCTCCACACAGAGGGCTGTGGTAGTCTAGTGGTTTGTGGTTGTGTCAGGAAGGACGTCCAGCATAAAAATAATTGTCATGTCTTTGTGCAACTTAGTTCGCTGTGGTGACCCCTGAAGAAGGAGCAGCTGAAAGAAAAAGAAAAAGGACTCTCAAACGCAGCTGGTCGAAGCTTGTCCTGAGCCTGGTTCTGCTGGAGGTTTCTTCCTGTAGTTTTTCCTTCCCACTGTTGCCTTTGTGCAAGCTCAGGATGGAAGACTGCAACAAAATGAAGACTTAACGTGTCTGCTTCTGTCCTTCCTTTGTTTGATAGAGAACTTTACTAATTTGCATTTATGATGTATGTGAATGTTTCTGTCCTGAGGTGACTTCTGTTGTGACTAGGTGCTATATAAATAAAATGGATTAAACTGAATCAGATCTGGTTTTACGGTTACATTTGGGACTCATATCAGACCGTAGGTTTGGCATTGCTCTGGTTTTGTTTGGTACTGGTTTGTGATCATGTTTATGCACTTTTGGAATGGTTCTGGACTGGTTCATTAGGTGGTTTCTGTCTGGTTTTGGACTGTTGTGAGTTCTGTTGATCGTTTCGTTTCCTCATGAGATCCAGACTAACTTCCTGCCTGCAGGAACTCTGTCCTGGTTCTCCTGCTCGGTTCTGTTCCTCCTGACAGGATGATGTTTGCCTCTGTAGCATCAAGTTAAAACCCAAACGCATCAGCCTCATGCTGAGGATTGTGGGTAATACAAGATCAAACTCCTGGTGTGTTCCCGGCGTTGTGATGGACGTCAACAGTGCTGGTTCTGAGGAGGACGTCCCAGGAGAGGAGGAGGAGGTGGTGGAGGAGAAATGTCTTCATCTCTTTCATTAGTAACATAATGAAACATACTAAGGTAACAAGTTAAAGAGACAAAAACAGAAGAAATATATAAACTGGGATGTCTGCATCTTTATTTATTTATTTATTTATTTATATGTTTGTTTGTTTAAAACAGAGACGTGTAGTTGAAGGTTGTTCTGGCTTGATCTATGTACAAATCATATAATGTACATTTAAAAGAACATTTGTTTTAATAAAGATGTGATTTATTTAACTTACATAAACATTTAGATTTAATTTGTAACAATTGAAACAAATTAATATGATAGATATCAAAGTCCATGCTCAATAATCCAGGTATAAGATCTAACAATGTTCAGTCAGGTCATCTGGACGGTTTCTTTTTTGTGCTGAGATGTTTCGCCCTCCATCCGAAAGGCTTCATCAGTCTGCCTCAGTGCCCCAGAGACCGTCTTAGCACCAACCTAACTGTTTTTTTCCACACTGGAGTAGGTTGTTGGTGGAGAATCAGTTTTGTTTGGTGTTTCCTCAGACTGATGAACTTGGACTCGCTGTGAGCGGAGTATTGGTTATTAGTTTTGTTTAAACATTTTATTTATTAAATGTTTAGACTGATTTAATGAATTTTAAACTCAGAGAATTTATATAAAACTGACATTTCCTGCTGCCTTTGAACGTCTCGTTTTCAGGCAAACATTAATGAGTTTAAACTTCCTCTTCCTCCTCCTCCTCCATCTTATTTAAATGTGATCAGACTCCTCTGTTAGCATAACAAAAACCCCACCGCTCCTCCACCTCCACCATCCTGTCAAAGCATGGCCAACTGGTTTCCACCTCCTCCTCTTCCTCAGATCTCCTGTCAGACCCCCCCTCCCCTCAGCAGCGTGCAGGAGCAGCTCCTCTGAATGCCTGTCGCCCTCCCTGATCGATGGAAAAAAGGAGCTCCTTCAAGCAGAGAAACCTGCAGAGGCCGGCTGAAGAGGAGGAGGAGGAGGTGGAGGAGGAGGAGGAGGGAGGAGGTCAGACACAGGAAGGGTCTGTCAGAGTAACTATATCTGCAGACACTTTCATTTTATTAAATGAAACTTTAAAATGTTTTACTTTTTTCTTTTGTCACATTTGTTGCCCTTTTTACAGAATAAAATCTGAACATTGGGCGAGAAATAAAAATAAAATGTTTTACTAATTATTTATGTTTAAAACTCATTTTAGCAGAACAAAAACATAAAACTCCTCTGTTGTGATTGTACGATCAGTGTGATCCGTTTTATCGGGACATTAATGAGAAAAAACAAAAGTCAACAGGGAAGAAGACGAAAGATTACAGAGATAAAACAAGACGTGCTGTCTCGTCATCAAACAAAAGATGTGTGATGAGATCACTAAAACAGAAAACAGATGAAAAATATATATTTTTTAAATGCAGTAAGAAACGACTGAAAACAATTAAATTCATGCATTTTCCATTAAATAATTATATCCATCCTATAAGGTCTCAAATCTGCAGCCATCTTGAACTGGATGAACCCCAAACAGGAATCAGGTTTACATCTAATTAGTTGAAATAAAATCTGTGGTTCTCAGGGGAGATGAGGATCAGAACCTCCAGATCTGAGGCCACGGTCCTCAGTCAGAGGGTGGACTGTCCTCTTCAGGTTGGATAGAAACTGAAAGACCCAGATCCTGGATCCAGGAGGTCTAAAGGAGTTCTCTCTGCAGGGTAGCTGGACTCTCCTTAGAAATTGGGTGAGAAGTTCAGTTCTCCAAGAGAGACTTTGAGTAGAACCACTGCTCCTCCACATCCAGAGGAGACAGCTGAGGTGGTTCAGATATCTGGTAAGGATGGACTGCAGATGCCTCCTTAGGGAGGTGTTCTGGACAGGTCCAACTGGGAGTAGACCCTGAGGAAGACCCTGGGACACACTGGAGAGACTCTGACAACTTGGAGTCTGTAAGTGGAAAAGGTGAAGGGGACAGAGAGGTCTGGAACTCCCTAATCACGCTGCTGTCCCCAAGTCCTGAGTCCAGAACCAGATGATGGATGGTGTTTCATGAGATATTTTGCTAACAGACAAGATAGTCTTCAGCAGTGAGCATTACTAAACTTACTGCTGGTAAATTATCGTGTATTCAGGCTCAGAAAGTTCAAACATTGTTTTGTGTCTGAGTGTTTTATCTGAGTGACTCTCCCTGCTGACAGCTGCAGCTGTTAAACATCTGGATCACCTCTGGATCAGCGATAACTCGGAGGCTCCACATCAGAGGAAACAGAAAGTGAGCGAGGAGCGGAGCTGTCTCCTCTCAGGTCCGACTCCTCTCTGATCAGAGGAACCCGCTCCTCTCGCATGTCACTTCTTTCCTGTGAGGAAAGACAATGATGTGTGAGGAGCGCTAACCTGAGAGTGATGCATGCTGGGAAGTGAAGTCTCTGACAGTCGGAGACCACGGAGTTGGCAGCGTGTCACGGGTGATCAAACCGTTCAACAATCGTTTGTGTTTCAGACAGTGTTGGTTTGCTGTCAGCGTGACAGGAAACCAGCACACCTGTCAGCCTGACGTCTCACCTGAGCAGCTGGTCAGTTTACGATACATTTAACACCCTGACGTGCAGCAGAGGTGAACTACAAAATGGGATGAAAAGTTTAAAAGCATTTGTAGGAACCACTAAAAACGTTTGTTGTTTTTTGGGGGTTGAACTTTTAAGAGCAATCAAACTGAAACTGGACCGAGTCGACTGTTTGGAGGTAAAGCTGTAGAATCTACTGCAGAAGTTCCTCAGAAGGTTCTGATGAGGAGCTGCGCTGTTCTCGTCAGAACCCTGTGAAGCTCCCTCTGTCACACTGAGAACAGAAGAAAAGCAGGACGAGAAGCTCTCCCGTCACACGGGCTCACATTAACATTTTCAATCAATCCTGTTTTATTAACGACGCTTCAGGTTTTAATGAGAGTGAAACCACGTCGTTGTTCCGTCTGCGGCGTTTTGGACAATCTGCCCTCCCATTCACCGCCGCCGCCGCCGCCTGATTGTTTCAGATGAAAGAGCCATTTTGGAGCCGGCGGCGCCTTCTGTTCTGCAGCGCAGGCCTCGTTGCCAGAACCGCACCAGGGTCACCAAAGGTCAGGAGAATTATGATTATGCCCCCCCGCCCCTCACTGAGATGATGGTGATGTGAGTCTTTTGTTGTTTGCTTCAGTCACACACGAGCTGCAGGACGAGGCCCGCGGGTTGAACAGGCCTGACGGAAAACTAAACACGAGTCCAACATGCGTGTTCACAGCCGTGATCTGTTCGCACAAAGTGGCAGAAGCAGATCTTGTCCTCCGTGTCTGTCCAGGACATGGTTCTGATCTGTGGGTTTGACTCGGTAACACCTGGAGCATTTCTGTTTCCTGAATCCTGCGGTTCTGACACTCTGACACTGATTGATGAAACAATAACACCCTGATTTTATTCTGCAGATACTTTGTTGTTGTTGGTCTTTGTTCACTTTTTTTTTTTTACTGATTTTATAAATATAATATAACAGTAAAACACAGGAAACAACCCACAGCAGGCTCAGCGGGTTTGGACCTGTTTGTTGTTCAGAACTCAGCTCCAGTTTCCCCTCTGATTCAGATCTGCATCCAGATATTTCCCCTGCCTCTGCGTCCCATCAGCTGAGAAACATCTGGTGTTTCCTCCAACAAATGGGCAGGTTAAGGTTCTGATGGAGAACCGG